TCTGTAATCTGTAATGGAATACATTTTAAAAGTAACCTTCCCAACACTGTTAACAAGCGCACACGTTTATTCTGAGCTGAAAACAGACCAGCATCAAGCACCATGTGTGAAGTTGAGTTTTTAACATGATGCAGTTTGACGTCAGGCTTCTCGAACAGTTGAACAATCGCTGCACCCACAGGAGCTGCTAAGAATCCAGATAATCAACCTGATTTTCATAGCAGGAAAAACTGAAGTTGATTTCTTATTCATTTATTTTTCTCTTTCATCTTTGGGATTATTTGGATCTGACAAGTATAAAAATTTAGCATCAACATCAAAGTCATTTTGAAAATGTTCTCATTGTGATTCACACGTTGTGCCAGGAAGTTGGTCACCTTCTTAAACCCTTTCTGACAGATCAAACGTCACAAAATGCCACCCGTCTTACTGCAGGTTGCTTCTGTTTCAGGAATGAAAAGCAATTCTATTCTGCAGGACGAGGATGGAAGCTCCCATCATTGACAACTCCTCCGGTTTCATATGCAAAAACAATTATTGTGCTAGCTTACGTGGTTGCAGAGCTACCGGGATTTAAAAATAGTTACACAAATCAGAGCGTGCCCGCTCCGACCGGCTTTAAAGGGTTAATAAAGTTTCTACTTCATCCTGGTTCACCTGCTGAGTGTTAACATTAGACCCACCTGTGCGCTTGACAAAAATCACACACTGAAGAACATGACTTTTGAACCCGTTGTGTGTGTGTGGCTAAATCAGCAGAAGAATCCAACACACACACACACACACACACACACACACACACACACACACACACACTTGGGGAAACCTGATACTGCGGCTGTTGTAAATGGCTGACCCAGTCATGGCTTCCTGATTAGAAGGCTCAGTGTTTTGACAACAAACAGGCCACAGTAACATAATCTTTATTATTCAAATGAGTGGGATTAAACTTTTGTGCGTGTATAATTTGAAGGGGCAGCTCATCAGAAAGAGATATGTGACTGAGGTGAGAGCTAAGCCTCCCAGAGAGAGGGAGGGGCCTGGATAAGCAGGCTGCCGGGCTCATGTACTAAAAGTAATTAGAAGGAGGCAGAGGGGGGGTGGGGGTGTGTGGCATAAAGCCTCTCCCAGGATGGTGAATAGAGGACTTCTAAAGCCCAGAGACAGATTACCATTTAAATGGTGTGAGGTTTAAGTTTGCTGCCTGCTGAAGCCTGCAGGGGCAGCTCTACTGTACGAGACAATGGGCCGTCACACGGCGAGCCCGTCCTGGGATTAGAGTTGAACTCTGCTGCTGATTAACTCTGTACGGTACACAGGTTAAGTCGAGCAGCAGTTAGAGAAGCATCGCCTGAAGCCTCGTTCGATCGTTTTCTTAAGAGCAAGTGAAACATGATTAATGCT